TTCAGTTTCTCACACTAGAGAAACTCTTTGGTATTTACACATGTGTGCCCTATTTATTTCATTTAAGAGTATCGCCTCAATGTGCATCCATTTAGCCGTAAATCTAATTTCTCATTTTTTATGGCTGAGTAGTACTCCATTTTAAAACCACATTTTCTTTATCCAAGAAACTTTTAACAATAGATCACTGTACGTTTTATCTTATTTGACATGATATATACACGCAGTTGGATAAAGCTTGCTTTAGAGTGAAAGCATTCAAAATCTAGCCATCCTCTGGGTATCAAGTTCTAAATATTACTGTAATTGATAGTTATAAGGATCCTTAAAGGATTATTGCCATAACAAATTTAAAATTCACTTATGCTGTTTAGTCTTTATCACTAAATTATCACTAATTAAAATTCCATATAGCACACTGATATAGCACCAAAGCTCCGATTTCAAAGAATAATAAAAATAAGCAATGTGTCAAGGACAATATCTGCTTCTGAAAGCTATTATTTTTTAAATTTAGTCAGAAATCTATTGATATCATCATTATCATTACTGTTGAGGTTTCTTTTAAAACAAGGTCTTACTATGTAGTTCAGGCTGACCTTGAACTCACTAAGTTGCCCAGGCTAGAATCAAATTTGTGATCCTCCTGCTGCAACCTACTAAATAGATGAAATTATAAATGTGTACCATTACCCAGCTAAATCTTTAATTTCTTAGTTGTTTTTTTTTGGTACTGGGGATCGAACTCTGGTCCTTGCACTTGCGGGACAGGTGGTGGAACCACTGAGCTAAATCCCCGGCCCTCTAACTTCTTAGTTCTGAATGAACCCTTCTGAGAAGCCTGCTGGTCAGGCTGCTCTTGAATTTGTGATTCTTCCTGTCTTAGCCTCCAAAGTACTTGCTATTACAGGCATGTACCATTAAGCCTAGATCATAATCTTCTGTAAGAAATTTCATATTGGGGGCTAAGGATACAACTCATTGGTTGAGCACTTGCCTAACATATACAGTCCTGGGTACAATTCGCAGTGCCAGAAGAAAATAAAAACAAAAACAAAAACAAAAACCCTGGACTAGGCTACATCCTATCCATGAGATTTTTGGAGAAAAAAACAGATACCTAAAATTTGGCAAGAAGAGATACAAACATGTCTTTCTTTTTTTCCTTTTAATATTTTAATGTAATTTTATTGGTACATATTAAGTATATAAAATACTGGGATCCAATATGGCATTTTCATACATGCATATAATATTTTGATATTTGCCCTCCTTGACCTTAATAGATAATTATGGTATTAGTTGTTTAACAACATGGTTTGAATGCTTTTTTCTTAGATGTATTTACACAAGGATGCTCAATAATAATATTTTTTAAAATTCCAGCGAAGTGACCTTGGCAAATTATTTATCTTTCCTAAGGTTTGGATTCCTCTTCTATGAAATCACAATGAGGTCCCAACCTCAGAGTTTGCTACACTGAACATACGTGAACAATGAATTTTACTACTGATGATAAAAGAATTCACTGTCCTTTATAAAACATTAATAAGCATGTGATTCCCCTTAAAAGTACTTCAAATATTTAAAATTTGATTTAATTCATGTGAATTAAATTTATATTCATAGTCAAGGTCAGAAAAATATAAGCAAAAGCCAAAATTGCACAAAAATGCCATGATACAACCTGCACCTTCATATATAAAGGCACAAAAGTATCATCACTGTATACCACAGCTGAATTACAAATCTGCTAAGGAATGAATCTGTCCTACCTCATTATAACATTCTGAAGACAGAGATTATGTTCACTATTTCTTGATACTGGGTGGAGTAAATAAAGGTCTCAGAAGGAAGAATGATAATTAAAGAACCTAAAGCAACTTTTCCAAATGACTGTAGTTTATATTTTGGTCTCTTCAGTCTCAATGACAAGCATTAACCTTACTAAAAGCAAGAAGCAGGCTGGGGATTTAGCTCAGTGGTTCCAATGCCTGCCTCGCAAGCACAAGGTCCCAAGTTCAATACCCAGTACCAAAAAAACAAAACACTAAAAGTAAGAAGCTTTATAGCTTCTATTTTACATTTTTGTACCTTACATACATTATTTTCAAGAGTTTTGATATTGGAGAATTAAAAATTCCTCTATTCTACTATATTTTTTTAAAAAACTGTTTATAATGCTTAATGAAGAAAAATATCAAGCTGAACAAGTCTCTACATTCAACAAAGCTAAACAAATACTTATTTTACAATATGAAAGATGCCCTGCTAAGTGTTACAAATACCTAAGTGAAAACAGAATTTAAAGTTTGCTAAAAGAAAACAGTACTGCTCAATTACAACTGTTTTGGAGACAGAGTCTTGCTATGTAGTTCAGGCTGGCCTTGAACTCGCTATGTAGCCCAGACTGGCCCTAATTAATTTTTGAGAAGAATCAATCTGGTACCTTTCATGGCTTCTTCAAAAGAGCAAGGTCTTGCTGGGCTAGACATTTCCTTCTTCACAGTTACATTCAAAGTACCAGCTGCTGCTGTTAAGAAAAAGTTAATGTACTGTATTTAAATTTATCCACTTTAACAAATTGTATTATCTTAAAATCCTTTAATTGGACTATTTCCTCACAGAGCATCATTAACTTGTTTGTCAAAAACTCTTAGGTTGATGGGCTGGGGATTTAGCTCAGTAGTTCCACTGCCTGCCTTGCAAGCCAAGGTCCTGAGTTCGATCTCCGGTTCCAAAAAAAAAAACCCCAAAACAAAAACTCTAGGTTGAGATAATTTGATAATTTGGGGGGAAGGTTTGTTTTTTGAGACAGTTTGGGCTGCCCTTGAACTCAGGGTCATCCTCCTGCCTCAGCCTCCTGAGTGCTGAGATTATAGGTGTTGCCACCATGCTGAGGGAGTTGAATTTTTGTAACAAGTAGTCTATCCTCTAAAATTTCACTATTTTCCAGTGAGTGGGACATATAAAGACTTAAAACAAAATCAAAACAGCAATTTTAAAGAATATTTCCTTAATACTATACTTGTTGCTAATCTCAGATGAGAAGACTGATATTAGAATATCAAACATGTAAAATGTACATCAGAACACCAGCAAGAAAAAATTAATCATTTACTGATATATATATATAATTTAGTAAACATACTGATTCAAAAGCCTTAGCTGAATGTTTAAGCTAAATTGAAGTCCTGAAATTCTTTTTTTTTTGGTACTGGGGATCAAACTCGGGACCTTGCCCTTGTGAGGCAGGCACTAGAACCACTGAGCTAAATTCCCAGCTGAAATTCTTATAATTAATAAAAACAACAATGATGAAATTTCAGCATTTTCAGGAGAGCAAAAACTTCAAGACCAGCTTTCTTCTATTCCCACACAGGTGATGTAGAAGCTAATCAGAACAGATTTGGGGGGGGATTTTTGAGGCCTTCTAAGGGAAAAAAAGAAAAACACCAAATATTTCGATCTTTGACTATAAAACAATCTTCTCCTGTTTTCACTGAAACCAGAATATTATTTCTTCTTTTGTTCTCTCTCTCATTTTTTTTTTTTTTGTACCAGGGATTGAACTCAGGTCCTTGCGCTTGCGCAGCCGGCGGCGAAACCATTGAGCTAAAAATCCCCGGCCCACTCTCTCATATTTTGGCTGAGACAAGGTTTAGCAATGTACAGAAGTTCAGTCCAGCCTTGAACTCACTATGTAGCCCAGACTGGCCTTGAACTCATGGTGGTCCTCTTGCGTCTGCCTCCCAAGTGCTGGGATTACAGCTATGCACCACCATGCCCAGATCCTGAAACCAGAATATTATTCCTAAACTTTGCCTTTATGTTCCAAAATTTTTTTTATTTGTGATCTTCTATTCTGAGATAAATAAATATCAAGAGGAACTTCATTAGTGTTATATACTGTCATACCTTTGTAGCAAACTAGTGGAAAATAAGTAATACTGAAAACTTCAGAAATGATTAAAAAGAAAATGGAATTGAAAAAAGTGACTACCAAGACTAGTCCACCCCTGCCCCCAAAGATGTGATCTTGCTATGTTGCCCATACTGGCCTCAAACTCCTGGGTTTAAGCAATTCTACTTTAGCCTCCTAAGTAGCTGGAACTACAGGCAAGAACTATGCCTGGCTTTGTTCCTCTCACTTTTTGATCCCAATGTTTTCTTTCCTTGCCATTTTTCTTTACCTTCTATCTCACTAGATCCTGAACTATTTGAGAATAACACATAAGTAAACTCTAGATATGGAAAAACTGCTAATTCTGAAGTATCCTTGAGACTAGAATGAACTAAACCAATAGTAACTATGGCAGAAACCAAGCTTAGGCCAATGGAACGTGCAGTTTCCATTCCCAAAATGTTCTCCCTACATTCTGCCAGAAGTCTTTTTTCTTCTTCACACAACTAAATGAATGCAGGCAAACAAATGATAAGACATTTTTAAGTTAGTTTTCATTACTTATTACCCCAAGCTTATCCTTCCCATCTGTCAAAATCCACCCTAGATGGCTGCCAACGTAGCTCAGTGGTAGAGCACATGCTTAGCATACATGAAGTCCTGGGTTCAAACTCCAGCCACTCCCCCTCAAAGCACCCTATTACCAGCCTAACTAAACTAATTGCAATTTCCTAAAGCTACTTTCATCTTTCTGCACATAAGAGGTATTCAATAAATGGCAGTTCTTACTAAGGAACAACCTTTAAGATAGCATCAGAGAGTCTAATCGCAGGAAGATTTCTGGCTTTTCCTATTAAAGTATAAGGTAGAAATGATTTCACAACATAAGAGTAAAAGCAATATTTGGTCTTGTTAAATAATGCCCTTTCCAAAATAAGTTCATATTAACTCACATTATTGAATAACCTTTTCTTTTTGATTGGCTGATCTTTAGCTTTCCAAAGAACCAGAAATTATTCATTTCAGTTCACAATGTCTTGTTTTAACATACCTGGGTCTGGAGTGTAAGTGAATGGCTGAACATCATGGGATCTTCCAGCATTGGTCACTACGTATATTCCCACAGATACAGGCAAAGTTATATGCTGGTCATGATATGGAGGAACCTTGACAATAAGATGGTTCTAATTGAAACAAAAGTGTAAGAATCAGAAAAGAGGCAATATTCAAATTAACAACAATTAGGTGTATTTCCTATTAGTTATAAAGTTTAAAAGTTTGATTAATGTATTTCAACACTCAGGTTCACCTCAATCTTACAATTTCTCCTAAGGTAAAATTCAACTGTTCCATAATGGCTTATAAGGTCCCTGCCCTGTCATCTTCATCACATTTCCACTTTCCCCCAGTTTACCATGCTCTAGACACCATGACCTTCTCAGTCCATTCTTTTAACATATTATAGCCAGTTTTATCTTATCACCAAATGTGATATTCTTCTGTGACCTCCTCAAACAGCAGGTTTCTTACCCATTTTCAGAACTTCTCTTAGAGAAGCCTTCCTTGACCAACTTGTTTAAAGTAGTCCTCCCACCCAACCTGGTCACATAATTTTATTTCCATAACATAACTTACTACCACTTGAAATTACGCAGCAGGCACAAGAACCACTGAGCTAAATCCCCTGCCCCCTTCCACTTAAAATTACCGATTGTTTACTTGTTTTTTTGTCCCTCTTCAGTCACAAGAATTGAAGTTCCATGAGGATCCAGGCTTTTTGTTCTGCACTCTATTTACTCTGTTCAGAATAGTACTATACACAAAAGCACTCAACTGTATTTGTTGAAGAGTAAATTATGAGGAAAAAATATATGCCCACCATTATGGCTTGGATCTAGATGTCCCCTTAAAGCCTCCGGTGGTCATAGGTGGGGAATTTCAAAGGTGGCTGGCTTAGGGTGTGTGAATGTGGATTAAGGATGTGGATAATGGAACCCCCACCCTGGGTATGGGGTGGCACCAATCAAGAGGCTTGTAGCCTAGATAGAATATAAGGGGATAGAAAGAAGGCAGGCCTGCTGCTGCTTTTCTGACGGCCCCTGCCTGCCCTGTCATGAACTGTTTCTCCTCTGCTATGCCTCTCTGCCACACCACTCTGTCTTGGAGCCAGTCAACTGCAGACTGAAACCTTTACAAACTGTGAGCCAAAATAAACCTTTCTTCTTTTAACTTCGGGTGTTAGATATTTTGTCCCAGCAAACAAGGAAGTAACCAAGCCACCCACTAAGCATAAAGCCAGGTGGCATATATTCTTCAAGATGAGACGTGCTTTGGGCCGGGGATTTAGCTCAGTGGTTTCGCTGCCTGCTGTGCAAGCACAAGGACCTGAGTTCAATCCCCGGTACCCAAAAAAAAACAACCCAAAAACAAGATGAGATGTGCTTCAAAATACAGTTTACTACTTTTCTAACCACTTTCTCATTAAAAGTCGAATAGCGTTCAGTGTATCAAACTCCAATAAATCAAAGATCTTTTTAGTTAGAATAGAGGCAGATGTATCCTTAGAAAAGAGTAGAGTTCATAAATACTTCATCAGCACTTACATCTTCTTTGGTGCTAACGTGAACCACATATTAACTGTTTTTTCTTCCTTATAATAGAAAGGAACATCAAGAGGTAGTGATTACCTATTTTACCAATTACGTTTCATTCAGGAGCCCAAAGCAGGCAGCTTACAGTGAGGTGAGTATGAGAACATTTATTTTAGACTATAGTTGATTGACTCAGTTAAGTAAAACATAGGATAAATAAGGTCAATGCCAAGGTTTCAATTTCTGAGCACTTAAATGTTTTGGTTTTCTGAGCCAGGGTCCACAATGTAGACTAGCAAACTCAATGATTCTCCTGCCTCAGCTTCCCAATTGCTGGGATTGCAAGGATGCACTCCACCATGCCTGGCTAAAAATTTGTTTTTGAGCCATTTTAAAACACTCTCTGAAATTGCTCCAAATTTATGGCAGTAACAGAATATTCCTCCTAACTTAGCTATCTTAAAAACAAACAAACAACCCCCCAAAAATCCCACATACTTTTAAATAAGGTGGAAGAACATGTAGTATAAATGTATACGGCTCCAGTTATTGGGGGGTAGAATTTGAAGCACACATATGGTCATCAAAAACACACCTGAATGATATGAACTGCTTAGAAACAGGGCTTTTGTCATCACTTCTCAGCCTTTTGGCTAAGATGGGAGTGTAGAAACAGGGCTTTTGTATATTGTCCACCCTCATTTTTACTTTATTGTTTAACACAACTACTATATCACAGAAACAATCTTCCTAGAGTTAAGAAGATGGCTGGATGCGTGGCTTGTAAAATAGTCTTTACTTTTGAGTTATCTGACAAACTCTACAACTGAAATTATTCTTTTTTTTTTGGTACAGGGGATCGAACTTGGGTCCTTGCGCTTGTGCAGCAGGCAGAGAAACCACTGAGCTAAATCCTCAGCCCTGAAATTATTCTGCTGAATAAAAAAACCTTGTCTCTTGATAACTAGTAATATGATTAGTGTTTTAAAATTATATACATATTTTATCAAAATACATCTTTAGTTGCTTCAGAGTATATTTAAGCAAACCTCACTTGAAATCTTTTAAAAAATCTTTGTTGTTGTTTTTTGAGACAGAGTCTTGGTATGTAGATCAGGCTGGCCTCCTTCACCAACTTGCAGTGATCATCCTGCCTCAGTCTCTCAAGTACTGGGACTACAGGTGTGTGTCACCAAGCCCAGCTAAAAACCTTTTTTTTTCCCATTAAGTTTATCGGTACATTTTAGGTATAAAATAGTTACATTCACCGTTGGGATCTTGTACCTTTACGTGAGTATCTTGGTTCTTATTTTTTCCCCATCCTCCCTTCACCCCCTCCACCCCTCCTTATTTACAGAGACTTTGTTTCCATTTTTTTTTCTTGTATTTTTTCTTTTCCCTTCTTTCCTTTCCCCTACCCTTCCCACTTCCCCTACTCCTTTAGACCTTTTCTTCCTATTTCACATTATCAATTATACCATTTGAACCTTATTTACATTCTCAGTTTCTCACACTAGAG